GCTCACACTCTGAATTTGCCATCCTGTTTCAGCTCCCTGATTACTGGGTTATTGTCCTGCATAGGCCTAGATTGACTCTATTCTTTTTTTTTTTTTTTTTAAGTTGGGAAGAAGGAGCCCAGAAAGAAATCTTATAAAGCTGGTGTCTTAGTGTCATTTTGTTACTGTGATCAAATACTGACCAAAAACAACTTGGAGAGGAAAGGGTTTATTTGGCTCATACTTCTGGGTCACAGTCTACCACTGAGGGAGGTCAAGGCAGGGACTTGAAGCAGAATCTGTAGAGGAGCCATGCTTACTGGCTAATGATCAGCTTTTTTGGCGTGGGGGGGTGGGGTGGGCAGGAAGGGTACAACTGTATATTCCTGGATAACCTGGAACTTTGTAGATGTGGGTGGCCTCAAACTCACAGAGGTCTTTTTGCCTCTGCCTTCCAAGTGCTGGAATTAAAAGTAGACTACCGTACTTCGCCTCAGCTGGCTTTCTTATCCAGTCCAGGCTCACCAGCCTAGGGATGGTGCTGCCCACAGTGGGTTAGGCCCTCTCCCGTCAGTCATCGGTCATGACAGTTCCTTCTAGTGGTACAAAGGCCAATCTGACCTGGGTGGCCTCTCGTTTGAGACTCTAGGCTGTGTCAGGTGGACAGCCAAAGCTAATTAGGAAACCTGGTCAAATGATATTTGAATGGTTTCAAAGCCACTGGGAAGGGGGAATGGAGGGAGATAGGCTTTTTTTTCCACAGTGGGCTGTGAAGATTGGCTGATGGCATGTAAAAGGATGAACCTGAGCCTTCCCTTCACTTACGTATTGATGGTTGTTCAGTGGATCTGAGACTAAACAGAATGACTAAACCTATAGAACTCTTAGAAGACAGCAGGAAAGTTTTGTGATGTTGGATTAATTCTCTGAACATGACACCAGAGGCATAAACAACGGAAGAGAAAAGGAGTAAGAGAAGAAGTAGTAGAGTGCCTGGCATGTGTGAGTAGGGAGACAGTTGCAGAAGATAAAGAAACGCAAAGATTCCAGCTATCACAAATGGCTTTCAAAGGTAGTTTCCACAAGAACCTTATGTGCTGGCATCTTTCCTGAGAATTCTGTGCTTGTAAGACAGCCATTGATATCCTGAAAGCTGTTAGTTTTATTAGTTCTGGGTTGAGCAAACAGGGACAAGCAACCTTTGTGTACTTTGATGGCTTGTGTAGCTGCTGCCCCTCAAGTCTTAATAACGGGCTCCTTGTTGGGTGACTTAATCAATGGAACATATTTTACATGAATACCTCTGAGAGTCTGTCTTAAACATCCACAGATGTGTCTTTGCACAGAGTTGGTCCTCTTCTAGATATTGTTCTTGTGAGGATAGGCTTTAATGGATGCTTAATAGCATATTACCGGGGGGCTCTCAGATGTTTTATGTTTTGTTTCATTTTTAGATCACTTTATTTTATTTTATTTTTTTTTCACTATTTTATATGTTTATTTTTTATTTTTTATTTTTTTTTTTTTCGAGACAGGGTTTCTCTGTGTAGCTTTGCGCCTTTTCCTGGAACTCACTTGGTAGCCCAGGCTGGCCTCGAACTCACAGAGATCCGCCTGGCTCTGCCTCCCGAGTGCTGGGATTAAAGGCGTGCGCCACCACCGCCCGGCACACTATTTTATATGTATGGATGTCTTAATTTCTTTTCTAGATTGTTTTCTTTTATGTGTATGTGTAACTTACATGCCTGGTGCCTGTGGAGGACAGAAGAGGGCATCAGATCCTCTAAAACTGTGGGTGCTGGGAATCAAACTTGAGTCTTCTACAAGAGCAACAAGTGCTCCTAACCTTTGAGCCAGTTCTCTGGTCCCGTTAATTGTTTTTTGAGACAGGGTCTCACTACACTACCCTCCTCCTTTTTTCTGAGACAGAGTGTTTGTTGTTCCCAAGTTTACTGAGTAGACTAGACTGGCTGCCCAACCAGCAGCCCCAGGGATCCTGTGTGTGGACCCAGTGTGTGGATCCAGTATGCACACTCGGCTTTTTTTAAATGTGGGTTTTAGGCATCAGACTCAGATTCTCTTGATTATAAGGCAAGCCCTTACTGACTTAACTTTCTCCTCCATACCCCCTTTTCTTAAATTAAAAAAATTACATTTATTTGTGGGTATGATTTATTCAGTGTGTATAGGAGGGGATGGTTGTGCATGTGGAAGTCAGGACATTGTTGGCATCAGGGGGTCAGTTTTTTCAGTTCCAGGGATAAAACTCAAGTTGTCAGACATGGTGACAACCACCTTTACCAGGTAAGCCATCTTGCTACTCCCCTCCTTTATTTTATTTATTTATTTATTTTTTTTTTGAGACAAGTAGCTCTGACTGGCCTTGAACTCTCTATGGAAGAATAGGCTGGCCTCAGATTCCTGGGCAATTCTTCTGTCTCAGCCTGCTTGCTGAGTGCAACACCCTGTCTGGCCTTGCTAAATATTTAACACCTTCGATCACTTTTAGTAATTTTCCCCCGGATGAACTTGTGCCTATGCTGAGGGGAAATTGTCTAGAAGCAAGCCCAGAAGGGAATGTAGACAGTGAAAGAACATGGTAACTTCCAAGGATCCTGTATTTCCCCATCAAACACATTTCCCCACTTAAAGCTGTCCACAGGGTCTGGAGGCAGAGACGGTGAAAAAGAGTCAGTGAGCATTTCCCCTGTGGCAAATATTGCCAGTGACTGACAGCAGTTCTTTAAAACTTCTCTCAGTAGCACAGTGAATGCGTTTTCTCTTTCGAGGTTGGAAATGGGGTGGGATTGGGTTGGAACCTTGAGGGCTGAGAGGCCGTGAGGGGGCCTAACTGGCTCTGATGAACAAGTTAAACTTTTTCTTCTTTCCCCATGACTGTGGCTACATGTGGAGTGTTTCTGCTCCCCAAGACTTCTAGCTCTGATTTGGGAAGGGAGGAGTCAGCCATGCTCCATCCCAATGCACCTCAGGGACAGTCAAGGAGCATTTTACACAGTAGGTCTTGAGAGGGAAGTGACAATGGTAATGGACCATGATTGACTTTTCGTGTCTTTTTTCCTTTTCCTCTTCTTCCTGCTTCAGCCTCCTGAGTGCAGAGATGGGTGTTTACTGGGGAGGAGCAGACATACTAAAGATTGTATTCCTAGCATTGTCCTGGGACAGGAAGAGGACCAGTAAGAGAGAGGAAGATGGACAAGGGGAAGCAATGAGCTGGGGTGGCAGTGTACAAGCAAAGGACAGTGTGTGTGTGTGTGTGTGTGTGTGTGTGTGTGTGTGTGTGTGTGTGTGTTATAGATGTCATAATGAGTTTTCTTATGCTAACTAAAAATAATTAAGAAAAAGCATTATCCTGAGATCCTTGAATGTCCCACCAGGATGGAGGTGAAAAACCTATTGCTGATTATCTGAATTCAAACTTAAGTTCTCATTTCCATATAAACATGATTTGGGGGGTGATGGTTTTAGTATAACATGAATTTTCTGGTAATGTAACAGCCATATAAACAGAACAAAGAGGAATTTTACTAAGGATGTTTCAAAACCTTACCACTGGGGATGCTAATGCAGTTTATTGGTAGAGAGCATGAGCTAGAGGCTCTGACCTTAATCTCCATCACCCAATAAAAAAACCATATAAACCAATGGTGATGTTTGTAGCTATTACATTCACAGAGGATATATGTGTCTGTGTATTTACTTTTAGAATTTTTTTTTTTTTTTTTTTGGTTTTTCGAGACAGGGTTTCTCTGTGTAGTTTTGTTGCCTGTTCCGGATCTCACTCTGTAGACCAGGCTGGCCTCAAATTCACAGAGATCCACCTGGCTCTGCCTCCTGAGTGATTGGATTAAAGGCGTGCGCCACCACTGCCCAGCCACTTTTAGAATTTTTAAAGAATTATTTTATTTTATAGTTATGAGTGTTTTGTCTGCGTGTATGTCTGTGCACCACATGTATGGCTGGTCCTCTTGGAGACCTGAAGAGGTTATTGGATCCCTTAGAACTGGAGTTATAGATGGTTGTGAGGCATCGTGTAGGTGATAGGAATTGAATTTGGGTCCTCTACAAAAACAACAAATACTCTAAATCACTGATCCATCTCTCCAGCCCCGTGTATATTTATTTTTAAAAGTCACATAAGGAAATTGATAATCCTCAGTTTAATATTTTTTGTTATTGTTGCTTTCTGAGACGGGGTTCTGAACCCTGATCCTCTGACCTCAGCCTCTTTGAATGCTGGTATCACTGGTTGAACTATTCCTCCTGGCTCTATGCACAACTGTGAACAGTTTTTTTAATTGTGTTTCAATACTTGAGCATTTTCTTACAGAATGCATATTATTTTACAAGAAACTATTTCTGTTTTATCTTTTTTTTTTTTTAGTACTGAGGCTTGAACTCATGGTCCTGTGCATATCAGCTAAGTGCGCTATCACTGGGCAACATTTCCAGACCTTTTTATTATTTTTGAGACAAAGTCTCACTAACATGTGTAGGCTGGCTTTGAACTTTTGATTCTCCTGCTATAGCCTCTGTAGTAGCTGGGATTAGAGGCATGTGCAAGACAAACAGTGTCCTTTCTTTTTTGTTGTTGTTGAGACAGGGTCTCTGGCTGACCTAGTACTTGCTATGTAGACCAAGCTGGTTTCTGCTTCCAAGTACTAGGCTTAAAGATGTGTGCCACCACGCTTGTCCTTTATTTTGTCTTTTCTATAGAAGTTAATTATATTTTCTTTAAAACATATTTTAAAATATGCTTGTGTGTGCATCTGAGGTATTATTTTCCCCGTGGACCTGGGTTTACAGGCTGGTGTCCGATATAGGTTCTGGGAATTGCACTTTGGTCCTCTGAGGGAGCAACACATGAAACCGGACTTTGTTTTTCATCATGCTCAGGGAGACCAGGGAAAAAAAAAAAAAAAAAAAAAAAAGTTACGGAAAGGGGCGTTCCCGACAGAGCAGGCCCCGCCCCAGCCGCGGACACGCCTCCCGCCACACTCAACATGGCGGCCGCGCTGGTCCGCTAGGGCGTCTGAGCGCATGTCAGGAGGCGAGCTCCGCTCCAATCATGGCGGCCCCGCAGCCGGGGGCGGCTGCGCCGAGCGGGGTTCTGGAGCCATGTGGTCTGGAGCAGATTCTGGAAGCGCTGAAGCTGCTGCTGAGCCCGGGAGGTGAGAGGACGAATCTTGGCGCGAGGCTGGACCGGAGGCTCGCGGGGCCGCGGGTCTCCTAGGCTTGCCCTGGCCGCCGCAACATGTTCCCCTCGCGCCCTCCGGCGATCTCCGTCCCACTCCTGGGGGCGTTTGGGCCTTGTCCAGTCAAATTTAAAACTTCAGGAAACTAAAGCTCCCGCAGGGCCTGGGGTCCGCAGAATGCTGGCACGGGCCGAGCTCCGTTGGGCGCTTCCCTGTTCGGCGACTTAGGTCCTCCGTTAGATCCCGCGCCGCTCTGAAGCAGGGGCTGTGGAGACGCCTTCAGACAGCTGTAATGTGAGGACTCCGCCGCTGGAGGGCTCCGGGCCAGATGTGCACGCTTGAGATTTGTGCAAAATGCCAAGTGACCAGAGATGCGGAGCAGGGGCGTTTTGGCTGAATTTGAGGAAGATATTTAGGGGTTTTCCATTCCGCTATCAGGGATGTGCAGTGACCTTTGATCTTTTGTGTTGAGGTGACCCTTCCCAGTTTGGAATCTGAAGGGACCTAGGGAATGGTGAAACCTTGCGCTGTCCTATACTGTCGAGTACCAATGTGTGGTGGTTTGACTGCCTCTGCCTCTCAAGTGCTGGGATTAGGCAGGCATCTCCATTCAACTTTTGTTTGTTTGTTTTGTTTTTCTCTTTTTAAGACAGGGTATCACTCTCTAGTTAAGGCTGCCTTGGAACTTACGCCCCAAATCACGTGGTCATGTTAGTGGGCTGACCATGGACCTCGAACTCAGTTCTGCCCAATCTCCTTCTCAGACTAAGGCAAATTATTCAGAATAGAGCTTCTGATGCTATCTGGAATTGTAGGGAAGGGTGTAAGAAAGAAGACCCTACTGATAAATACAGTACGTCTGGGGTGGGGGTGTCGAATTTTCAAGGTAAAGGCACATCTAAGGTGAATGCGCTCAGTCTCAGATGTCGATCCGGAACTACGGCTGCAAACATTACACTTTACTAGTGGGAAAAGAAGTTGATAATAGATGCAAGCCCACTAAGTATCCGTCCCTACTGTGTTCTATTGTTTCAGCCCTCACAACAATCTCCTAACATAGGCATTGCTCGCATTCATTTTTGCAGAGGAAGGAACCAAGGTTCGGGTACATTGGAAATTGCCCAAAGTAAAAACGAGTAAGTGGCAGCATTCCGTTTCCTGTACTAAAAGCATGGTAAATATGCTATATTGCTTCAAATTAAGAGTCAATGGCAGGGAGGGAGAAAAAAAAAAGAGTCAATGGCAGCTGGGCAGTGGTGTCCCAGCACTCCTGAGGCAGAGGAAGGAGGATCTCTGTGGGTTCTAGGCTAGCCTGGTGTACAGAGCGAGTTGTAGGACAGCCAGG